AATTATGGCCATAGATCTAGAAAAGTATTTTCCAGAGAAGGAAATTAAAACAGAGTAAGTCATCCCTGTATCCAAAATGAATTCAGTTTGCTTACTCCTGATGTCCAAGGTCACCCAGGATTCCTTGCAGGAGATAGAAATATCCATAGACAGAGGTACTGCAGTTTTCCCTGGATCCCTTCAGTTCTCTTCACCAGTGTTTGAGGTGAGGGTTTTGGCTGGCCTAGTGCCTCTCTGGGAGTGAGGGCAATGAGTTCTAGTGTCATGAATCAGGCACATCAGCCACCTGACACACAGAGCCTGGGCGGTGGCCTAGTATAGTTGTATGCCCAGCAACCAGTTTCCTTGCATTCAAAACAGGAACTCTTTTCTTGATTGGCCCTGGGTTTTCCCTTGGATGATTTGGGTGTAGTTAAAACATTGACAATTATGAAAGCCATAATTTTGGCCTGCTTTTTTTCTTGATTCCTCTCTTTTTCACCTTCCTCCAGATCCAAACTGTTGAACACAGAAAAGACTAAGTGCAACAACTGGGTTATAGTGGTCTGGAGGCCCACCTGAAGTTTGTGTTATTTGCACCAAATATTTGGGGTAGATTGGCTAATGAAATGCTGTTCTAGTAGAGTTTGTCCCTTCTTGGAAGATGGATCTAAATTTGTGAATTTACAGAAAGCTTCTACTAATTCAAGATAGCTGGATTTTTCTCTTTGCCTTGTGGAATCTCTCACCTCTTTTCATAATTTACAGTTTTAATGTATGTTTGTATTCCCATGATAATAGTAGTCACCATTTTAGAGCTCATATTTAGTCCATCCCCAGTATTATAGTCTTAGTTTGGTTTCTGTCAGTGGGACAGTAACCTCTCTAGGGTGATTCACCTCTCCATCTGCAAGACATTTTTTATCTGCATATCTCCTAGCTTCTTTTAGGATTCTTTGTTTTTCATCTGGGGTACAGCAACCTACCAAAACAAAATGGACACCTCTCCATGAGGGTCAAAGTTTGAAAAAGAATAATAATAAAAATAAAAATAATAAAAATAAGAGTCAAAGTTTGAAAACAAACCGCAAATTTAGGATCTTCTGAAAATTGGCCTAATGTGTTCTTTGCATTATTGGATATATGTCCCTTGGGGCTAAAATCTGTCTGGGGGCCATGAAGAGGGGCCTGGGAATACTGGGTCTCTCTGGGGTTCTAGCCTCTGAAGGAGTTTTTGAGTCACTTGGAAAGGGTAGGACAATTTACTGGCCTGAGTATTATAAGGAGGAGGCTGAGAAGAGAGAAAAGGAGAAAACAAAATTTCCCCAAAGAGGTCTTACCTTCTAGCTGGGCTTTTCAATAATGTGACAACACTTATAAGGTTGACTCTTGACTATTATTTTCATAATCAAGAAACTTTTGCTTGTGACTCAAACCAATGAGGTAGTTAGTTGATCAGTTTAATTTTCCTACATATTCTTCTCTTCATTCTTGATGATGCGAGTGTTATTTGCAAGTGAATGGGGGGGCGTTCACATTAGATCATAAGCAAAATAAAAATAAACTCTTTGGACTAGGTAAATTACAATGATTTCAGTTGTTGTTGATGTTGTTGTTGTTGTTTTTTGCCAAGATGGTTTTATTAAAGTCCCATGCTATGTAAAAACATACAAGAGATGAGAAAAACAGAAACTCGAAACATGCACTTATCTGACATTCTCTAAAATACCATTATTCAAGTGTTCATTTACTTAGAAAAATACCCACTAAAACAATCACAGCTTTTCTTAAAGATTTAAAAAAAATGTATTGACCAGAACAAAGTCCAAGAGAATAAGCAAGACTCTGAATTGTATGTCAAAAAACTGTACAAGGTTGTACATAAAAGTATAGCTTACAAAAGCCTTGGGTACAGTAAGCATACTGAATTAAGATTTCCAAAGTTCTATTTACCAATAGCCATTAATAAAATCCTTATGAAATAATTGACTTAGAAAAAGTGAAATGTTCATGATTTCAGTGTATATAGAAAATACTAAATATCACTTTAGTCAATTAGTCTCAATATCAAGATTTCTATCATTCATTTAAACTTTGCATACACTGCCAATGATGGCTTAACCATACAATTTCTTACATAATTACTTTAAAAAACTAGATTCAAATTAATTCATAGTTTTATTTTTTTATCTTTTGAATTGCAGCCAATCTTAAAATCAGTTTGGGGAAGTAAAATACGTTGGTTTTCTTATTTAGTTGGGTCATTTTTAAAAAATTAAGTTTATTGGGACATTTTAGGTATACAATATGACATTCATCATTGGGAATTTATACCTTTACATGACATATCTTGGTTTCCTGGGTCATTTTTGAGTTGTTGGGTTTTTTTTATCCTATAATACTTTAATTGTATTACTGTATTAGAATTTAGGAGTTTGGTAACTTTCCTGTATCTTGTAGAAATTAGTATTCTATAGGTTGTAGAAACAGAATAACAACTAAGAACATTTTAAATGAATTTTCATGTTTCTGTGACTAACCCTTGCTTTGGAAACAGAAATCTAAAAATAAAGGCATGTTGAAGAAACTAGGTTACTAATTAAACATTAGGCCAGTTGCAATTTTAAGCCTTATATATCAGCATATCAGCAATAGTTTTATATTCCTATTCTTTTTTTCTTATAGGAAACAGGAAGCCATGCAAATAGTTGACCTGTGTCTGAGGGAGTGGTCCTTAAGTAATGCTTGGCAAATTCTATTCCAGGCTCTTAGAATGGTTGCAGTGTTTTAAATAGTCTACTTACTAATCTAATAAAGTTGCTGGTGGATTAAAAAAATATATGCATGGGTAAGTCATTACTGTCTCAGAATAAGAAATGATTCACTGTTACTTTGAAAATCTAAATACATGTAGGGCTGGGGATTTAGCTCAGTGGTTCCACCACTTGCCTCACAAGCACAAGGACCCGAGTTTGAACCCCAGTACCAAAAAAAAATCTAAATACATGTGACTGTGAGGCCACAAATGTGCCTGGTTTACTGTGTAGAGATAGATGAAAGTGACTTTGTTGGTGCTTGAGATGGAACCTAGGATCTTCTGCATGTTAAGCACAAGCTCTGCCACTGAGCTATATCTCCAATCCTAATAACTTTAAACTAACTGATTATTAAAATAACTAACTGATTTTTTCCCCAGTACCGGGGATCAAACTCAGAACCTTGCACTTGCGAGGCAGGCATAGTGCCACTGAGCTAAATCCCCATCCCCTATTTTTTGTTTTTTTGAGACAGGGTCTCACTATGTAGTTCAGGCTGGCCTTGAACTCACTATGGAGTGTAGGCTGGCCTCAAACTCATGATGATTCTCCTGCCTCAGCTTCCCAAGTGCTGGGATTACAGACTATGCCACCATGCCTGGCTAATACTATTCTTGAAGTTAGTGATTAAGTTCAGAATTTTTAACTTAAATTGCATTTTAGTCTAGGTGAGATGTATGGCTTCCTTTGTCAGGAAAATAGTACTTTCATTAATAATGCTGATTTGTACAGTAAAGTGAGCACTGGTGCACACAGCTGAAGGATAAAGTCCTTTTGCTTTCCTCATCACCTCCAGATTGTCAGAGAGTGGGTTCTTATTACTTTCCTATAACCACCTTGAGTCAAAGAAATCCAGAGAAGTAACTGAGACTGAAATAACACTTTCGTTCACTAGCAGACTTCATTTAAGTCTGTGCTTGGGCTCCTGAGTTGGCGTGACTGCTGAGATAGAAACAAATGAGACAGAAGCTCTACTCTAGGTGTGTGGGACACAGACTGCGTGTCCTTAAGAGTCACCTTGTCTGCAGCCAGAAGCTGCACCATAACCAAGACACGCAGGCTCCAGGGACAGGTCGCACTGGAAGATGGAGCACTGTACCAGAAGACTTCATTAAAAAAAAATCTGCTTCTCCAACATATGTTTTCCAATACTTCGTAAATGTCTTAAGTGTGGTACCTAAAAGCAAAGAACTGTAAAATAACCACACCTGGCCTTAATATAAAATATCAGAACACATGTTTAATGACAGCGAGTCCTTCAGAATCAGAGCCTGACTTGAGTTTAAAAATCACATCAAGTGTGAACAGAAAGGTTATCTGGTTCTCAAGACCTGCTGCTGGTTTGCTCCTGGCCTCTCTTCCTTTCTGAGTGTCTTTATGTCCGAGGTAATCGCAACACTGCTGAGCCTGCGTAATAAGTGTGTGACCTCTTGTGCTTTTTGCTGGACTCTGCAAAGTTTAAATGTTAGTGACAGAACACAGACTAGCCTCCAAATGTGCTTGTTTTTTAAGAACAGAAATTGCCATCAGTGAATGCTTTAAAAAAGAGTAAGAAGTAACTCCAAGATCCTAAAAATGGTTTCCCATATTGCCAAAAGAATTTCAGTGTTTTGTAAAACACTTGCATATAATACCTTAAATCTCATCATGTGTGTGCACCAGGAAAATACTCCAAACTTGCGAAAATCCCCATGGGAAACAGCAGGGAAACAATACAAATAGAATACAAAAAACAAAATGCCATTAAGTTTGCATATCTGATGTAAAAATGCTGAGGTAATATTAACTGCTTAAAAAAACCCCCACCCATCTTTGCTTCTGTTATTGCTGAAAAAGACTAATAGTGACTGAGTGATCTTACTATACCAAAAGTGGGAGAGAGGACTGCATGACATTTGCTACTGGTGGGCATAATGTTCAAAGTAAGTAAAAGAAAGTAAATGAAAAAGTATAAAACTACAGTTAATGATGGTTATCCTTGAGATCTGGAGTGAGGGAGATAGTCCAACCTCGGTGGGGTTTATTCTTTAGCCTTTTCATGGTTGCCTCTTCGGGAGTTTTAAAGCTAATTGTTCCCACCCACTCAGATTCTATTTCCAGGTGAATCCTTAGAAATAAATTTCACAGGTTCTTAATAAATAGTTGCAGTTCCTCCTGAAGATGCTGGGTAAAGTCAGAGTGAAGCACCACAAAACCCTCTTGCTGGCCGCTGTGGCTTGACTAGATTCGGATCTGATAACCCACTTCATTCAGGGTGCTGAGATCCACCTTCTTCTCGGGCAGGGCAGGAGACTTGTCTCGCCTGGCAAACCTTCTCGGGGGACTTGCCGGTCTCCTTCGAGGTGACAGGGATTTCCCCCGGCTTCTCACCTGGGTCGGAGAATGGGCACTCAAAGGCTTCAAGATCTTCATCCTCAAGTCCCTGGCATATTTCTCCAGCTCCTTCCTTATGCTGGCCCTCAGCATCTTTGAGACATTGAGAACCAGCTGCTTCCATTCGATAGGTTGGAAGCTATGAGGCTCATAGGGGACATAGAGCCCAATCTTGACATTCTTGACTGTGTGCAGGTACTTCTTGTAGGAGTCTTCAAAGTCAAAGACAAGGTCACTGAGAGTCCGAAAGGTCAGTGGCTTGTCCATCAGCTCAGCCCTTCGGCTCATGCCCAGTGAGCCATACCAGCCATTGCAGTATATTCCCAGCACAACGTGGTGAAAGTAATTTCCTGAGAAGTAGGTTTTAAGGCTAAAGGGGAATCGCTCAGTGGAAGGCTGCCCATTGATTAAGTATATGCCCAGGATGACAGCTTCAAGGCATTTGATAGGCAAGGACTCTTGGGTCATTTCCTTCACTGTTTCCATTAACCCGCTCAGTGGTCTCATTTTCCTAATTTCAAAGAACTGGGTCCCCGTGTGATTATATTGTAGTGTCTTCATGTAATTCTGGATCGCCTGGAGCCAGTCTGGGATAGTCATGGACAGCCTGTAGTTTGGGACCTGGGGTATTGAAGACGTTGCAAAGAAAGCGGTGTCCCTGATGGCCCCCACCACCTCTCTGCCCTTGGGGTGCACCTTGGCCACGTGCATCCACATGCGCTCCCAGGTGTGGCTGTCCATGGGGTCCATGGGGAAGCCGATCTTGTCCATGTGGAACAGCACCCCACCGTCTCTGTCCTCCTCCTCCGAGCCCCCGCTGGTGGCGAGGCTCACCGGCCGCTCGTGGCTGCTCCGGGACCTGCCTTTGGCGCCTTTGGGGTGGGGGCAGCGGTGAGTGTCGGCCGCCGAGCTGGTCATAGTGGGGCGGGGCACGAGGCGGGGGCCCGGGGGCTTGGGCGTGGGATCAGAACCCCGTGCGTGTGGCCTTCTCCATGTCCCCGGTGCCGCAGGACGCGCCCAAGGGGAGAGCGGCGGGGCTCCTGCTCATGGGCCGGGCCTGGGGCTAGCGTGCTTCATTTTGGCCGACCCTCTCCGGGGGTCGCGGGCGGGCGGCGGGGGTTGCTGCTGCCCGGCCCTGGGCTGACTCTGCTGGGGCTGCGGCGGCCGGCCCCACATCCCAAGTCCAGTGATTTCGGTTTTAAGCATGTACAGTTTTTAAAATATTCTCTTTCATAGAAAAAGGAAACTGTATTTGAGGGAAGGAAAGGCTAGATATGGATGTTGATGCAAACTGGAAAGGAAGGATTGGTAGGAGGGAGGAGAATCCTTTGACATAGATTTTCATTCAGCTTGCTGAAAGGAAGAGATTTGGGGGACAAACCGCCAGAGTGTCATAGGGTAAATCCCTTCTTTACCAACCTGTGCAAAACCCACTATTCAATAGTCCTGGCTTTGAATGTGGCCACTGTGACTCTATCATAAGAAAGCAGCAATAGTTTCACCATGAGAGTGTCAGTATGAAAGCATCTCAGTGATTGGAGGGAAAGGTCAGAGAACCCAAGCTTCAGAGACTTGAATAGGAGAGATAATAGTGCTAGTGTACTCTTTTTCCATCTGTCTATATTGTATCCCCCCCCCACCCCTTCTCTCTGACTAATTAATTTCAGGCTACAGATAGACAAGGACTTTGCCTAACTTTTTGCAAGGTTTAGGAAACCATACTATATATAAAGTGCTTTCTAATATCAACTGAACAGAGTTGTCTTCTTATGCCTTTTGCTTTGATTCCTAGCTTAGATCCAAGCAAAAAAAATCATGCTCCGCAAATTACAGAAGCAAATAAAATATCTGAAGATAGCTCTTGCGTTGTTCTATGATTTTGCTACCTCTTCTTCTTCTTCCTTCTCACCCCAGCATATTCATCTTCTCTGTTAGAGGAGACAGGTGGTACAGTGTGGGTGGGCTGGCTATCTACTACTAGCTCATGTCCAGTGCCCTTGGCATTGCTTAGAAATGAATGTTCATAAGTCTAGGATTGAAATGAGCTTTTAAACACCATTTGCCGTTCTTTCTTTCCATTCCACTATTCACAGAACTCACATTCTTTGGAGCCCTGCCTGCTATGTGCCCTCTGCAATGTCTCTCACGGTCATCTTCACCGTCATCTTGTTCTCATTCCTGACTTTGGCTAGAGAAAAGAATTGCAACAGTGAATCTCCTGGGCTCTTTCTCCTGTGTCCCTACACAGTTCTAGCCATGCCTGTGTGTGTGGAGGGAGAGTTGGACAAACTCTCACGGTCTGCCCAAAGACCTGTTGGAGGCAGTCAGTGAACATTGGCTGGTGGCTCTTGGCGGGGTGTGTTTGTGTGTGTGTGTGTGTGTGTGTGTGCTCTGGGCTATGCTTTGTTTCTGCAGCCACCCACTCTTTAGTGCACATCATGGCATCCTCACAGCCTCTGAGATCACCTTGACATAGGGGAAAGAGAAGAATGAATTGAAATGGGAGTTACTCAAAGCTTTTCTCTGCTTTACTACTCCATGTATTTTGAGAAGCTTTGCAGTTCCTTTGATATTTCTTAAAGTCGAGTGTCTTCTCTGCCTTTGTAATGCCAGATTCTGTCAGACACACTTCAGTATCAATGGGAAGATGTAATATGTGCAATGAGAGTCAATTAATTTCCAAAGTATTTTTTAAGAAACTGTTAGGCAGGAGACATGGATAACAGAAAGTATGATAAAGGAAGTATCTCATGAGAAGGCAAAAATGGTGTGACTTCAAAGAGAAGCTGCTTCCATTTTGGGGGAAGATGAGAAGATGCCTGTAAACACTTGAATCAGATTTAGGTTGTTAAGAAGACGTAGGTGGGACAAATACACAGAGATGGAAGATGAATACTGGAGATGTATGCCACAGTATGAGCAGAGGTAGAGAGGGAAGAAACACAACATTGTGGGTAGCTAGCAAAGAAGTTTTCCTAGACAGAATCTGTCTTCCCAGAAAGAAGTGCCTGACACAAGGGTTTGCATGAAGGATGATGACAAATGATTCCAGGGAACAGGAGAAGGTGCTGGGGAATTAAAACAGAGATAGAGAGAAGCCAACACAAGGGGTTCTTGATTTCAGCACTGCCATGCAACTGAAGGTTGCCTTCTTCTGTTTCCTTCTTTGGTTGCAAAAAACATCATATTACTCAACACACAGAAATAAATAAAATATCTGAAGATACCCTTTGGATCCTTCAGAGATTTTGCATTCTTCTTCCTTCTCATCACTGGGACACTTAGGAGGAACCATGTACAATGCAACTGAGAATTGTCAAAGTGGAGAATGGATATCCATTTCCATGCCCTTTGTCAAGGGCTTCCTATGGAGCAGCTCCTTGTCCCTTCTAGTTCTGTGCATTGTTCAAGCACATTGGTGCAAGTGTCTTTTTCCCCAGGTGTCCTAAGAGCCCTGCAGCAAGAATAGGTTCTCCAGGCAGCTGAGATGACAGGATGTCAGATTACACCTTCTCAATGTTTGTTGCACAGAAATGCCAGGAATAAAAAGTAGGCTAACCAGAGGAAAGGCAGTGAGGGTAAGAGATTCAAAGAGTACCCCAAACAAAATTACAGAAAGCGAAGTAACATGAGTTAATGCAAGAAGTATATTTGGAATATATTTTTCCTGGCTGAGAAATTTGAACTCAGAAACTGGCATACATTGTAAGATGTGGTACTTCTGCTTGTCATGTGCAAGAAAGACTGCTCTTCTGAGGGAATGTCTTTGTCATGTGCACATTGCTGTTCAGGTTATTATGATTGATTGTAGTCAACTTGTGCTTGGTTAATGTATTTGCAGGTCATGTTGCAGGATTTACCTAAATAACACTCACAAAATGAACAGCTGACTTAACACTGTCCCCATGAAGAAACTATTTTTCAGGTTATTATTGATTGTAGTCAACTTGTGCTTGGTTAATGTATTTGCAGGTCGTATTGCAGGATTTACCTAAATAACACTCACAAAATGAACAGCTGACTTAACACTGTCCCCATGAAGAAACTATTAATTACATAAACTACTGAAATCCTAGAAAATAGGAATAACAATAAGAAAATATCATAGCTGATGCTTCTATTTGCAATTATTTTATCAAGTAAAATAAGGACAGTGCAATTAGTTCTGAGAAGCTGCCCAAGAGAAATTCAAACTGACATCAATGACTTTTTGTGAGCCAGTGTTTAGTCAGGTGAATATTGGGGCAAGTTTACTGTATTTCAGTGATAAGCACAAAGGTTTTATAGAAATTGAATATAGTGTATCACAGTGGCATGAACAATGATACCATTTAGCAATACAAAAATATAAATGCCCAGAGTTTGTCTATTAGAGTATAAATTCCCCAAGGAATTTCAATCTGTCATCTTTCATTTTTATTTGAGGCAATAAAATTCTGTTTTTTGAAATGACTTACAAATAAAAAGATCAGACCCATCCACTCTGTGTCTCTGTTCACTCTCTCTATCCACCCAGCAGCATTTGCAAGCTTTTTCTCAACCCTAGGTGAGGTTATTTGGGTGGTTCTAATGTACAATGAATGATTCTATGAAATATGAATTGATTTACACTCACAACATTTAACAATAATAACCAAATTATATACAGTGTGTCAAATTGTTAACTTTGATATTATGAATCCACCATGATTATTAAGTCATATGTAAATTTTTAATTTTACATCCATCTTTTTTACATTTATCTTTTGGGGTATGTGTTATAATGTTTAAAATAAACATGCATGAAATTAGTAAATAATAATATTTTATTTTATTGATACAGTTATGTGAACAAGAACATTCACATCTCTTGGCTGGGAGTTGGCAGAAGAATAGGAAGGGAGGGGTGCATGTAAGAAGCATAGGAATTGGCTGAAGTGGACTTGGTAGCCAAACTGATGGTGGGAAAAGATCAGGAAAGAATGAAAGTGACCTTTAGGCTTCCCACTGATTCAAGTGAAGGACATGATACAGAAATGAGTTATTGCGTTTTCAAATAAAAGGCTGATCCTCTATTCAGAATTGGCCACTCACAGCCCATACTGGACTTAAGTCTTAGGATCTAAATGGAAGTTGGTGTTCATTGAGCCTCTCTCTTGGGTGAGAAAGACAGGTTGATTTGCCTCAGAGGAGGTGGCTATGAACCAACCAGGGTAGGAGACAGATTGAAAGGCAGAAATGGAGCCCTCCACACTGTGGAAAAAGAGAAAGGGCCTTTGTGATGTTTTATCCCTATATAGGTCCATGATGTCCATCTCCTGGAAGGAGAAAAAGGGCTTGTTAGTGAGGAGGAGGAGCCCAGGCTGTCTAAACAGGTATCTGTTAGTTCCCAATAGCCTGGCTCTATCCCAAGGTCCCATTACACAGGGTACTACTGATTCTCCCTGGAACAGAGGGAATTTTGCATCTCTTTCTTGCGAGTACTTGGTTCACATTCACTCCCAGGTTCAGGTTAGTCTCACTGAATTACCAGCTCCAAATGGCCTTGGACATTGTACTTTCTATCATTAGTGGAAGTATCAGTTTAATTACTATAAATCTTCCTTTTAGCACATGGATATAAACATATGCTCTACAAAATCTAGATAAACAGTCTCTCTCCATTTGTTGAAAGTGATAGCCTTTGGTTAAATGAGAGCATTCTGTTATCTTAGAGGATTTCTAGGTAGCAGTTTATTAGGACTGAGAAGCCACCATGCCTTGGCTTTTCAGAAACAACTCATTGGGTGTTATATTTGTTCTAATGGCAGTATTTAAAAGTCAGTTATTTTCATTATATTGATCAATCTGGAGTGTAAAACTATCATTTTATTTCTGTAGAGCATGATGTGACATTAAATAGTCCATTTGATACATGTCTCTCAGTAGCTGCACATCCACTCACCTTAAGCTGCAAAGTAGGGTGGCCCTCAGTTTCTGTGACGAAGAGACTGAGAATTTTATCTTTGATTCCCAGGTAAACCAGATTGCCTTTTCCTTCATCACGAAGTTCTGTGTCTCTACATGCTATTATGGCAAGAGTGACTGGAAACAAGGAAAAATGTAGATGTCATGCTCCAAGCAGAGGGAAGTCAGTATTGTGACCTCACACTCAGTTACTCTTCTAAGTCAAGGGGATATGAAGCCCTGAGGACTTCTCCCAATGGGCTCCTCCCATTAGCTTCATGGCAGAGAGACTTGGTTCCTTTTCTGAAACCTATTTATTTCCTCTTCCTCAATATCTGCACCCCAATTGTCACAGGGTGCATTACTTTCCATATATATATATATATATATATATATATATATATATATATCACCAACTTTGCTGCTAAATGTGGCCATGTGCTTAAACTGTGACCCATGAGATGTAAGTGGAAGTATTGTTTAGGATGTCTAAAAGTACTTTCTAAGTATTATTATGAAAAAGTATCTCATAAATGGAAACCCAGAAGAGGAGCCAGTGAACTACAGAAGAATAAGATAGAGTGTGAATAAAAGGGAACATATAAATTATACTAAATGTGGCTGAAAGGCCAACAAATAGGATCAGAGAAGTGTCTTTTGGGTTTTGGTTTGAGAAATTTGCTTTGGCAATGGATCTCAAGTGGGGAGTGAAGGGCACTCTGCAAATCAGATTGCTTTGACGTAAATGGGAATAGGAAGTGGACGCAAGTTGTGTGGCCAACTCTCCAGTGCAATCTGGATGAAATTCAGCTATGATTGGTACAGGAAAACAGAATGTTAATAAGAACAGAATATGGGTATTAAGAGTGTGGATGTTACACTGGAGCATGTCAGTTAGTGATAGAAAACCCAGCAAATAAAGGTGAGAAATGCTGCTAAGAGAGGGACTAGAGCAACATGGAGGTACTGAAGAAAGGGAAAGAAGCTGAGATAGATTGACTTGATGGAAGAAGTATTTCACATTATTGGAGGAGAAAATGCCAAATTAGTCAAATGTGTAATCTGAGGGTAAAAGAGATGAGGGAGTTTGAATCTGAGGGTACAGGGCCAATTGTTGGACTTTAAAGGAGAGAAACTCCAAGGATTTCAACCATTGCTCAAAAGGGTAATTTTTTTTTTTTTTTTTGCCGCTGAAGATGTTTTCCTTTGGTAAGGGGAGATGTCCATCCCATAAAACCCTGTTGTTAGGCACAGGTTTTCCTTTGCGGAAGGCAGTTAGTTGTCTTACCTTCTTTGCACTTCTTTTGTATATTGAGCTGGTGCCCAGAATTGATATGGACCAGGGTGGGCTCATGGATTCTAACTTCTATCCTAGGGGAAGTGGGGTCCCTCCAGGAGAAATAGTGGTTTCAAATATCACTCACTAGGCTCAACATTGTTGCTGGATGGAGCTGCTATTAATACATTTCCACTCAGGAGCCATACCATCTGTTCAGAATCACGAATGTGGTAATATCTAGGAATTTCCTGAACTGTAAAATACCAAAAAGACACAAAGCATAAGTGGACTTATAATTAACTTTCAGACTTTTGGCTTCAGAATCCTTGGCTAGGAGGAGAAAGAAAGGGGAACAAGGCAGGGCTGGTTTGTGAATGAAAACATCAGAAAGGATCTAAACACATTTATGGTCCCAAGGTTCTTTTTTCTGGAGTTATCTTTTCCTAATTGATAAAGTCTTTATGTAGTACCAAAACCACAACTATTTAAATTGGTTACCATTATACTGGGGCTTTCTCTTTATCTTCTTAATCAAAACAAACATGCAATTCTAAATGTAGATAATTAGAAAATAATTAAATACAGGATGATTTTCTAACACATATTTCTGATTACTTTACACAGAACAAATACACTTGTTGCAGAGCTTGTAGCATATGTCCTTGTAGCATACTGTCTTTGGTGAAGTGGGGTAGAGCTAGTTCCAACCTGGTTTGTGATTTACCACTTACATTCTTTCTTGGCCATTTGACTTCCTTGACTTTCCACGGGGAGGACAAGGTATATCAAAATGAGGTGAAGAGGAGGTTATCTGCAGCTGTTCATAGAGAGAAGAAAACATGTTATTCATTTATCTCTCCTTCCCCTAAAATTTTGTTGACAATCTTTAAAGAAACCTTCCCTGAGTCCTTGTCCCATAGGCATATTTTAAGAATTTTCTTTTCTAAAAAATTGGTTATACAGATTAATGGGTTTCATTTTGGCAGATTCCTACAAGCATATAACATCCTTTGATCATGTCAACTCTATCACATCCTTGCCCCACCCTCTTCACTGGTTTCACATTGCAGGGCTCAATGTATAAAATATATCTTGCTCACATCCACCTCCCTTTATTATCTCCCCCTGTAACCCCTTTAATATCCTTCCTCTTGCCTAATAGTAGTCTCAAATGCAGATTTCAAAGGAAAGACAGAAAGACTATGTTTCAAGGTCAGCAAACCCTAAATGGAATGGAATCTCCCTTCCCTGTGGTGGCCAGTGTGATCCTGAATCTCCAGGCTGTGATGGCCTTGGGATGCCATCCAACACTGCATCTGAGATGGTTAGGAGATTCTAAGACATCACTCCAGGCTCCTCCAGAGCAGTAAGCCTCTGAGTTCAGAGGAAAGGAGGGAATGTGTGTCAATCACTGTTATGGCCCTACTCACAGCTGTTAGGTCATTTTTTCCAACTTTACCCTAGGCACACTTAAATAGCTGACAGAAAATCTGCCTCTCAGACCTGCACCTCCATCCAAAGAGGCATCTCTGAGGATCCTGCACATGGTGATCCCCAGCCTCATCAGGAGTTTTGACAATCAAAGGCTATCTTCTGGGTTTGTAGATAATACCACTGAGGTAATCCCCGAAGAACATTACAGGCTTCAGCGATAATGCATTGGTCACAATCTTACCTACCCCAGGATTGCCTGAATCAGTGGATACCTATGAACAGTGACTAAGTAATCATCACCTAGAATTGTTTTACATAGTTCCTTGTACCTTAGTCCAGGATCCCTGCAGTTACTTCAAGCCTATATACAGAGTGGTCAAAGGAAGGTTCCCCACACATGTCTTCTGAGAAGCAGTAGATAACTTTCGCCTGAACTGTGCTTTTTTTTCTGGGTTCAGAGATTCAGCTCTAGAAGTATCCAAGTTCTCTGGATGTTGGTCTCAGACTCCTTGGTTTTTAATGAGCAAGGAGGGAGCTCTACATGCTAGTCCTGGGTGTGCCCACTGTGGCAAGGAAGATGGGCTGGACAGAGTTCTTACAAGGCTTAGGATAGGTGGCAAGAAGCGCCACAGGTGTAGCTGGTCTGGGCTCCTCGAAAAGCTAGAGCAGAGCAAACACCAGGAGGCAACTAGGAGGCCATATGCTGATTTAAAGAGGAGTTGGAGATTAAAGAGGTGTGGTTCACTTGACTCATTGAATGCGTTGAGAACATAGCCCTGATCACATCTGATCGCTGGCAAATCACAGCACAGGTGTTTTACATATTGTGAATGTAATATAGGCCAACACATATTGTGCAAGTTTAGAGAGCTTATTTTGTTTTTGACAAAAGTGTAACAGTTTTACGTGAGTAATCTTTTAATTCTTTAGGGCCCATTAATATTTATTTCTTACAGAAGAAGACAGAGGCCATGAGAAATAAAGAAGGTTACTCAAAGTCACTCAGCTACTAAGAAACCTAGTCAAGCTAGGTGGCAAACCTCTCTGATGTTAGCTACTATGTGACAGACTTCCTCTGGGCTTCAGTCTCTGGTATCTTACTATAACCAGCTCCTTATAGCTTCAGGTCCTTGTTTTGGAGCAAAGAAGATTGTAGCTGACAAAACAGCATTCAGCAAGCAGTGGGGAATGATTCAGTGTATGTTTAATAGAAAGAATAAAAGGAAGAGCTCCTTGTTGGTCAGGGACGAGTACCACAAGGTGGACATCCTAGAGGTTTAAGTCCATTGGCTTGATGTGCAGTTTTTGAATGGGGTGAATGTTGCAGAACACAGGAATGCTCTGGTTGCATGTAGTCCTTGGTTGTCTGGAAAGTAAGCTGTTTTATTTGCACTTCATGTCCTCCAAGTTCTTTCTGATTTATTTAGGAATGTGTTTTTGTCTCTAACATTTCATTAGGCTCTGATAGTCAGTTTGCCTAAGCTCCTTATTTGGGTCCTCTGGTATGTTAAATCATTTAAACCCTAAATTTTAATTTACTTCAACTTAACTGTGCCCTATTTACCTAACTTCACCTATTACCTTGATTCATTCTCCCTTCTACAGTAGTGACCCTCACTCCTGTCAGGAAGAATAAGCAATGAAAGGTCTTCTGAGCTACTTCCTGCTGAGAGGGGGTACTGTTGGAGAGCAGCAGCCAGAGGTTACCACGGTGAGGCCTATCTAGAGGTCCTGAATAGAGCTAGAAGAGCGCCTGTCAAGAGTCTGCATCACCATTTTTAGCTTTGAAGCTGTCAAATGAGAAGAAACAAATTTAAGTAGGAGATTGAGAAAACATGGTCCAAATAGCAAGGCTACAAGAAACATTAATAATGGCCCTGCTATGGGGAGAAACAGAGAGGTCTAATTTCAGGTTTTTGATCAGGATCCCCATGACTTAAGTGATTTTTGGTGGTTGTTTGAAGCACAGTTGGCTAGATTTTATGTTGCATCACTTATTATTTCAGACCCATTGGCATAAAAGCAATATTTTTTCTAGTAACATATAATCTCTACTTTTTGGCAGTTAAAAGGTTATCTGTAAGTTTGATTTTTTAAAGGATCTTTTTATCTGATGTGATTTATTTAAAGATAACAAGCTTTATTTATAAACATGTAAAAGTTTAGCCTGAAAATATTGAGGCCCTATATTTTTGAAGGATAATCTTAGTTACGTAAGTAAAAGATTTTTGTTCAATTTTGTAGCTATTATTGTGGCTTTTTTTTGTCATACTGAATCACAGGAATAACAAGTTGTAGGTGTAGATAGAAACTGTCAGCAGGAGCCAGTATGTAGGACTTGGAACCCTTTTGTATATTTAGCCTAAATTACTATTAATATTTTAATATATCTTGTTGGTTATGCTGAATGTTTAAGACCAAGTTCAAGTGAGACCTGTATGAATTAGAATTAACCTTTTGTTGTATATTAATGTCAGGCAAGGCTGTCCAGGGATTGCTTTTGGAAGCATGTAGAGAGCCTCTTAGGTCCTCTGCCAATGTCATCTGGCAGGATGAGTCAAAGTCTTGCTTGACCATGGTTTCCAGGCTTCCCTTGGAAACACGGGAGATGGTTTTTCCCTGGTGACTCCCCTTTTAGCACAATGTACATCAGTTGACTCCTGTCCTCTGGGTCTAACAATCTCCTTGCTTAGGAGGTTAGATGGCTCACTACAGTAGTAGGATCCTGTAGAGATGTTCCCTAGTGTCCTGAGTAATTATTGACTGTGGCGAGTCAGGGCCAAAATATTGGCTGTTCCCTTAGTCTGGTTACGTATTTAGCTTTGGTCTCAAAGTCCTAGTTGTTGAACACACAGAAGATCATTTACACCAATACTGAAGTGAGAGCAATAGTGATTGCCTTAGAAGTCAAATTTGTAAAAAATAGTACCAGATAATAGTTATAAAATATTACAGGGTGAATTTTAAATCAAAAGCAAAACATAACATTTTAGCAGAATAATTATGTTGACACTATTAGGTGGAGTGGTGGAAGAGAAGGAAAGAAGTTGGAAAAAAAAATAAGAAACAAGATACATCATATGAAATAGAAAAAAAAGTTCAAAAGGAAAGGGAAAGTAGGCAGGGGGGAAGGGGTAAGAAAGGAAGGAAAAAGGAAAAAATGAGAAAAGGAAAAAATGGAAATGAGGCTTTTGTAAATAGGGAGGGAAAGAGAGGTTGAGGGAGGGGAGGGGAATGTGAAAAATAGAAGACTCAAGATACACCCTGTACAGGTACAAGTTCCCTATGATTAATATTATCATTGTGTATATCTAAATTGTACCAACAAAATTAAAATTTGAAAATAAAATAAAACAAATGGAATCCATAAAACAGATGCAAACAGATTTCCAGGAGATTAAAAACTCCATCTAAAGTCTGCTCAGCAGAATGAACTAATGTGAGGATAGAATTTCGGATATAGAAGAAAAGATTGCAATTAGTGACCAGGAAAAGAAAAATTGCTTTAAAATTGTAAAGGAACATGAGAAATCAATCCAGCAGCTGCTAGACGATGCAAAGAAGAATAACATAAAAATAAAATAAAATACATCATAAAAAAGATACAATGGCCAGGTCTACATGCTTTCCTAAGGGATAAGCAGTAACTTGGAATTATACTGAATTAGCCCCTCCAGTTTCAGGAACTCCAGATAGACATCAGTCAACCAGGTGGGTGACCAGATCATCTGGACCAGTCCCTTTCCAAAAATGTCCTTGTTCTTTCCATATACCCTCTTCATGTGAGCTACTTCCCTATTGGACCAATAGGGAAGTTAACTGGCTATACTTGCTATACTTGTAGTCCTATGGCTTGATTATAGTTTGACTAACATTGTACCCATGTTGTGACTTTGCTGTAGAAATCACCTTTGACAAAGGGCCTTGGTGGCAGCTCACTTCCAGTCTTCTCCTGTCTCTCAGGAGTTATCTCTGAATAAATCTTTCCTATTCCTAACCTCAGTTGACCTTTGGAATTTATTCTTCAGTTTCAAGGGACATGAACTAGGCACATTTGACATTTAACAGAATTGTATATTTGGGAGTTGTATTTTTTCCTATACAACAACATGAGCTAAGGCAAATAATATCAACAAAAATGAAAAAATGGAATAAGGGAACTGAAGGATGAGGGAGGGAGTGAGAGGGAAGGAGAAAGGAATTTAGAAAAAGAAACATGCTGTACTATGTATAGGTAAACATTACCCAAGATGACTGTAGACTATATGAACTCCAAACATGTACAAATAAAATAAATATTAAGAAAAGAAATAGCTCCAGCTCTTCAGTACCCTGTACCTTTGACCAAGTTCCCCAGAGCTTTTTCAAGCCCAGTTACAGAGT